GAGAGAGAGAGAGAGAGGGATGAAAGGAGAGGGGCAGTCGAGGTCTCTGTTTGGGATACCATTGACAGAGAGGCCCAAATGGCAGCAGTTTCTCTTGTGTTCCTCCGGGTTCTTCTTTGGCTTCCTCATCAATGGCATTTGTGAGGTAGTTTACTGCTGTTGCTTTCTGAATTTGTTGTTGTCTATGTTAATCATGCACAGAGGATCAAAATTTATTCTTCTTCCTACATTCACAGTGCGAAAATTCCAATCTTGTTCTTGTTTCTCGCGGTGACTACGCAAAAATTGCACCATTCTTCGTTTTTTGATGCAGTCATGTGAACTTGGAGAGATTCTTTCTTCCTCTATGCTTCCCTTGCCAAACTTTTTCTTGTTTATTCACGAATGTGTGGAAACGTTCGATCTCAGTTTTCTTTTGCGACTTCAAGAGTTTGATCTTTAGGTATTAGTACATATTCTTCTGAGGGTTTCCTTTGCTGCATGCATGCATGCATTCACCCTGTAATCTTTTCAGCATATCTAATTGTGCTCGATTTCCTCTTTTTTTACTTTTTGTTTCAGGAATATGTGTACAATCGTTTGCAATTCAGGTTATATTCTCAGTGCTTTCTATCTTAATCTACTCTATATGTTGTTCAATCTCTAGTTTTGATCTCAGTAGTGATCATGTTTCTTTGCAGCTACGGCTGGTACTTCACCTTTGTGCAAGGATTTGTGTATCTGGGGCTCATACACCTGCAGGGCTTCACCACCAAGCAGATGGTGAATCCATGGAACACGTATGTCAAACTGTCTGGTGTTCTTATGGGATCACATGGACTGACCAAAGGATCTCTGGCCTTCTTGAACTACCCGGCACAGTTGATGTTTAAATCTACCAAGGTCTGGCTTCACATGTTCTTCTGATCTCCATTAAAGTCTTCCAGTTTTTCTTGGTTCATGCTGCATTTGTTCTTGAATGTTGCAAACGTCGAATTGATGGTGCATTGTGGTGTTTAATGCTCTCATAGTTTAATTCATACCTCAACTCAGTTGTCAGGTGTCAACATGCATGGAATCCAATTTGTGGTTCTCAAGATACTCACCATGTGCTTACTTCTCAAGTCAATCACTCAAATCTAGATTAGCTCTTTTGAACCATGTGCTAGTTTGCTTCACATGACAGTGTTGCACGTCTGTTCTTTCCTAATGTATTGTTTGATGCATTTTTTATTTTGGGAAAGAAGAGGTTTGCATTCAGGAAACACACTCACCATGGATTCTCTGTGAATTGTGTGGTTTTGGATGCCTTCTTGTGCACGTCAGGTGTTGCCAGTGATGATAATGGGAGCCTTCATCCCGGGTCTTCGACGCAAGTACCCATTGCATGAATACATCTCTGCAGTGCTTCTCGTTGTGGGTCTCATCCTCTTCACCTTGGCCGACGCCCAAACATCGCCCAATTTTAGCGTGATAGGCGTGGTCATGGTATCGAGTGCCCTCGTCATGGACTCCTTTGTTGGTAATTTGCAGGAGGCTATATTTACTATGAATCCGGAGACCACTCAGGTAACTCAAGTTCTGTGTCCGCTCATGTTCCACTAAAGATCTTCTTGGCTCCCATCTGTTGTGGGAACTACATTTCTTATCCTTTCTCACCTGGAACATATTGACGGTGTCACAGATGGAGATGCTCTTTTGTTCGACTGTCGTGGGGCTACCTTTGTTGATCCCGCCTATGCTTTTGACAGGGGAGCTCTTCACGGCATGGAACTCATGCAAAGAGGTGACACAATTGATCCTTCTTGTCCTTCTCCCCTTGTTTAGTTTAAGAAAACTGCAAATGTAAGTTGTTAACAGTTGAAATCAAGAAAAATATCATTATATTGCAGGAATCATATTCAAAGTAAAACATGTTACCATGAGAATTTCTTCTCGGAAGATCCGTTTTGTGAATTTTGCTTAGGCTAATAAATTTGAAGTCTTGAACTGTAAAGCTGCACTCTTTATAAATAATTGTGGCAAAATAGAATTCGCTTGTAATGCTTGTCATCATAATTTCCTCTAAAATATATTACTTGATACTATTTTTTTGTAAACATGTTTCCATCAAATTACTTCCAACAAAACAAAGGTGAAAAGTTGGACTTCAATTAACAGACATTTTTTTTCCATCTTCAAATGTAGCATCTGTATGTGTATGCTGTTCTAGTGTTTGAAGCAATGGCTACCTATGTTGGACAAGTATCGGTGCTGTCGCTCGTTGCGATATTTGGTGCAGCAACCACCGCCTTGGTACGATATCGGATCTCCTATTATGATTTAGCTGGTACAGATTCATGATGCCATAAATAAGAATTGCTTGTTCCTGTTCTTCGTAGGTAACTACAGCGAGGAAGGCAGTCACACTTCTACTATCATATCTGATATTTACAAAACCTTTAACCGAGCAGCATTGCAGCGGGCTTCTGTTGATCGCGATGGGAATTGTTCTGAAGCTGCTTCCAGACTACAAAGATTCAAATCCACAGAAACAAAAGCGGAAGCAGCAACACCATGAGGATCACATTGGGCAAGATGAAGAGAGGAATTCATTAGTCTGAAGAACAGTAGATTCTACTAATGTTCCCAATTTGTTTCTAGTGAGAATATGTCCACTATGGTGGTGGAGTGCCTTCCCTCCTTTACTGCTGCTCTCTTTGAAATCAATGGCTCGGTTCAACTCAACGTAAACTACACTGCTGGTTGTCTGCATAACCTTGTAGGTACTGTTCTCTAGGTTGACTAAGCTGGAGAGAGTATATTGCCAACATAGATTGGCATAATCTTCTCCATGACTCATGGAAAGGAAATAATTCTGTTCATGAAGAATTATATTGAGAGATTGTTTTCATGATTTGAACCTTACTCATTATTACTTTGGCTTTAAAAAGTGTTATTGGTTTGATGTCTACATATCAATGTACATAGTCTTAGTCTTCTTACCTCTAAATGTGGTTACGTTATTTCTGTAACAGCAACATACTGATATAAGATTATCTTATGGTCATACCATATGATTTCTCTTCAACCATCATTTACTTGAGAGTTCTAAATCTCATTTTATAATTTTTATAAAATAAAAGAGTCATATTACATCAAACAAAAGTTTAAGATGGGTTATACACATAATGTGTCACAAAATGTTGGTGACCTCTCCAAATAACACCTTTTGTTTCTTTGGTAATAAATGCTCTTCCATCTTCACACAGGTTTACATTCACTATGTAGAGTAGCACCAACAATGTCGAGACTACACCTTAGAGCAACAATAACATAACACTTCTCAACATATTGACAAGAAAGCAACTCAATATTGCCACAAGGGATCCTCACAAAAAATGTTTAGCTGCTTGATAACAATGACATAGCTATCTTCTTCCTTGGCTGAGCAAGAAAAACCTCATCAAACCGCCATTTTTGTTGATGAAAGCCAGCACCTGGCAAGCAACGTTCATATCATGAGAAGCATCAAGCTGGCTAAACAAATTTAGACCAGCCAACACTGGACCAGCAAAGAACCCAAATTTTGGCATATTTTTACCATGTCATCAAGCAAACAGCCTGCACAAAGGAGGTTGATGGTCCCACACAAATCGCCAAATGTGATTCTTACACAAGTGATTTACCACTGATGCATGGAGGAGAACACAGCACATACATTGCGGGGCTCTACTCTACCCACAACAACTTGGACAAAGAGATGAATGTTCATCAAAGGTGCCGGCTTGTGACCATATGCGAGTTATGCTGACAAACACAACATGAAGTAGGATCTCAAACGGGTTCGTCGATTTGAGGTCTGCAGGATGTCAACATACAAGGGAGGACCTAAGGGACGGTGCACTTGAGAGGTGCGTGCATGATGCCCAACGTATGACCGACTCCGAAACCACAAGATCAAGCTGGTCACGCTCACCAAGCCCGATGGTGTGGTTCCTTCTGCTGTGGATGCCAATGGCTCTGGAATTAGTTCCGAGTCCTCTTCTAGCTTCAAGCCCTTTATGATCCAATTCTCTTAAGTCTCGACTAGAGCATGCAGCCGAGTAGGGTAACACAGAGAGCTTCCTCAAGCTTGAGTCTGCACATCACACAGCAGAATGAATGGAAGTTGATCATTTTAAAGAGCACTGAAGACATAAAGAGCAAACTGAAGCAATAGTTACCAGTCTGAGATGCCTTGATCTTTAATTCTTCACTCGTAAAACTGAATGGTTTTTGTTGCTCAGGCATGAAGAAAGCAAAACTTGGCACCACCGGCATTTGTGAGCAGAATCTCATGCCATCCGATTCACAGCCATTCTGGAAAGAGAAGCTGATAGTAGAAGAGAATGGAACATCAACAATAAATGAGGAGCATGATGATCTGCATGTGAATGCAGGCAAAGAATGGTCTTCAACTCTCTGGCAGGGAATGAGGGAACTAGTACTGAAGCTGACATCACGGCTTGCAGACACAAGAGGGGTAGAGAATGAAGAGTTTCCCAGGTCTCCCGGTGTAAAACTGACTTCATGGCATTGCCCGCATGAGACTTCTGGTTGCTGTGTGTGTTCTGTTATCCAGGAATGATCTGCAAAACAAGAAGCCAGCTCAAGACTTGCTAAAACAAGAGACAGGTTAGACACACACAATCATGCAAAAGAAATACGGGTCATGATCTAAGGGACTTCCAGATGGGCTTGTACGATAATTCTAAGACTGCAATACCATATGGAGAACAGAAACACCTAATTAGGAAAAGATAATTGTTAATCATAAAATTTCTGTCTTGTCAGCACTATGCTTGTCATTGGAATACATAAGCCAAGGGGAAATATACGAGAAGGTTCCAGTGGTTCTAGCCACGTCCTGTATTAGATGCTCAATGGTAACTACAATCAAACAGCACATAAACCATGAAGCAGATACATGTGGCTCTCTTTCTTTTATTTTTTATAAGAATAGATAAGAGATATTTAAGCATAAAATCTGTATGCAAATGCAATAGTGTTGTTCAGATGATATCATTTAAAATTTGTCTGTCAAGTGAATTCTTGCTCAAAGTTTACCTAAAACCTGTTTAGCTGTGAGTCTCTGAGTAGGATCTCTACATAACATTCCTCCAATTAAGTCCTTTGCAGAGTCAGATATGCTTTGCCATGGATCAGATGGAAATCGTAGCTCTGCAGACCTAACTGATTCAAATATCCTTGATTTGGTCTTCCCCCAAAAGGGTGGCATTCCACTAAGAAGAATGTAAAGAATCACTCCAGAACTCCATACATCTGCTGCTTCATTGTATCCCCCAGACAATACCTCTGGTGCAATGTAAAATGGACTTCCAACAGTCCCAGACAAGCTCTGCCCTGTTAATTTATGATGCAATTTGAGAGGCAAATAAAATACATAATGAACAGACTTAATTGTGATAAGAGATAGCGAACAAGAAAATTACCTGGCTTGATATAAGTAGCTAGTCCAAAGTCTGCCAGTTTGATTGGTGAAGATAAAGACTTTGTAGCCAGCAAAATGTTCTCCGGCTTCAGGTCCCTGTGAACCACACCTTTGTCATGGCAGTACATCACGACTTCCATGAGATGCCGGAAGAGAACAGCAGCCTCATGTTCAGAGAAGCAACCATGTTTCTCAAGCCGGTGAAAAAGCTCGCCACCAGCACAGAGCTCCATCACAAGATGCACATAGTCATTATCCTCATATACAGCCTTGAGGTCGACAACGTTGGGGTGGCCTGAGAGCCGTGCCATGACCTCAATCTCAAGCTTGATGCTCCGGATATCCTCAGGTGTGACAAGACGATCCTTGGCAATAGACTTGCAGGCGACCGACTCTCCGGTAAGCATGTCAGAGCAAGCCCTGATAACTCCGAATTGTCCCCAACCCAATTCTTCCAGTAAAACATATCGGTCCTCAAGGTATGATATATGGGGGGTTTCTAGGATGGGATTACTGAGGCCAGGGACCTTGTAGCAGTTGTAAGGTGGATCTCTGCTGTTGCCCTTGGCAACAGCCATAACAAGGAGCTCAAGGCTCCCTCGTGGAAAGTGTTTGCAAGATAAGAAATTGTTACACCTTCGATGTGGCACTGAAAACTACTACACCCACCATCAACACTGCGATAGATCTGAAGATGCAAAGAAGAAAAATCAAATCTTAAGTAAAATACTGCGTATCACAATTTTTTTTCTTAGTAATTAACCTGAATAACCGAGACCAAAGCTCAATTTTACTCATAAAAGTAGAAGAAAAAGGAACAGGTTAAAAGACAAGAGAAATAAGCGGGAAAGAAAACGAAAACTACCAACTTTGGGAAAAGTTCAACGGAAAAATTGCAACTTTTTCACACATTTCACCGTTGCAATCTAGGCTTAATAGTTCAATTTCGACTCCAGGTACAACAAATACAAATGATGGAAGCTTCGAGATCCGGCCGGGGAAGGAAGAAAGACGCAGTTTTTGCAAAAGCAGAGTCCCAGAACCACATTTTTCCCAAAGCCTCCAGCTAGTCGAACCGAAATAAACGACTTAACCTAACCCCAAAGTGAAATCACATCGATCCCAGAAACCCTAGCAGATCACGCCGCCCGACCAACCAAAATCGGCCCGGGAAACCTAGATCAACCGCAGGGCAAGTGCCTAAACAAGGAAATCGCACCGAATAGCGAGGAAAAACAAGAGACCACTTCAGATTCATGGTTCCAACAAAAGAAGCTCCGATACGACATCAAGCAAGCCGAAGGAAAGCAATAACGGAGAGGGAAATCGACGGAGAAAGATGACCTTGAACGGTGTAGAGGACAAGGACGAGGGGCCGGGGCGATCCACCAGGGCTCATCAGGGACGCGTCGCCTTCGCCACCGAGAGGAGCGGAAGCCGAGACTCCACGGCTTTTCCGGTGGCGAGAAGTCTATTTGAACTCCTGCTGTGGGAGCGGAATAGGATATATATATATATATATATATATATATATATATATAT